GGGTTAGGTTTAGGTTTACGCGTTAATTTTAGCTTTACCGCTCACAGCGTGCTGTTTTCGTCGCACTGTGATGACGTCAGGTACGCGGTTTCGTCAAGCACGCTTTAGTCGACCGCGGTTTTGTGGTGGAACCATCAAACTCATGGCGCCACATTGTCATGTAACGTATCGTGATGTTTTCCCTCTTTGCTAAACCAGGGGTGGGCGTGGCCAGCGGGTGAGGCATCTGGCCTGCGGGGCCGCGAGTTTGACACCCCTGTCCTAGGAGCACTCCCAAAAAAACTTACCCATGTTTAAATATTAAAGCAAAAACTATAACAACGCATGTGCACTTCCGTTAAACATTCAACCATGGAACACAGGTTTCCAGTTCATCATTCCCTAAAAACCTGCTGTTCTTTGTACAAGTCGCCATTTTTTTTCCAATAACAAAAATGAAATTTAAGGGAGAAAGCTTACCTGAACTTTAGTAGCCTGAGCTGGCTTCCACTGCACCAGCGTGACTCCACCACACAGCATACATACTGAGAACCACTGCAATCGACTAAGGCTGCGGTTCAGCATCAGGACAGTACATAAGGCAGTGCAGGGGATTTTCAGCTGGTATGTCACCTAAACCATTGGGTTTAAGACATGTCTTATTTCAGAGATGCATAATCCCATCTATAGGGCAGCGAAAAGTCTTCCAAAAATAAATTTTTAATGTAGAGACAAGGAAAAAGTGATTATTGTGTCATTCAAATGATACGCAGACTATTATTAATAGCATATGGTTAAATGTAATTGTTTTGATTACCAGTAAGGGACCAATTATTTCAACAGTTACTGTTGCAGGGTCACTTCTTTGCAGCATGCTGTGCAGAATTCTACTTATATGCCAAATATAGTTGTCACCAATCAAAATTGCACACCCAGGTCATCTTTGATTTTGCATATGGCACTGAATGCCAGGTAGCAAATCTAATCATTCGCTTCCCCATATTCCAACATTTTGTATTTCCCCTGTTATTTTTCAGTAATGAAACTGTTGAGACAACCCATTGAGTTACCAATTTCTCTCCCTACGACATCAAAATTTCGCACAATTATGGAGGACCTAAAGCACTTCATTTATGGAAGATTTCTATTATCTTTCTTTCTTGACTTTTCCTTTGGAAGCATATAGCTAAAAGGGTACACTATTTTTAATGAAAAATTGTTGAAGTATAACACCACCCTTCTTCCAGTAGCACTGCTGTTCCTTGTCCTTGTGTGCCAGATATCCCTAGACATGTGATGGCGAACCTATGGCAGGCGTGCCACAGGTGGCACACAGAGCCATATTTGCTGGCACACTAGCTGTCAGCTCCGGTGCACATGCGTGCGCCGTCCAGCTGATTTTCAGCCTTCCAGAGGCTGGGGAGGGCAAAAAACCAGCACAACGGGCAAATCAGAAGTTTGTTCCCGAACTTCCGGTTGGCTCGCTGGGGTCATTTTTCATCCTCGCCAGGATTCAGGAAAGCCTCCGGAGCCTGGTGAGGGATCGTGCGTGCTTGGGGGGGGGGGTTGTCATGCGTGCATGCGCAGCTGGGTGAGGAGGATTGAATTGGTGTGGGCACAAGGGCATATGCAATAGCACATGCGCAATAGCAATTTTAGCACACCATAAGAAACAGGTTCGACATCAGATTCAGATTCAGATTTAATTTATCACTGCTCTAGACACTGCAACCATTGACTGAAGAACACCCACATGTGTATCTAAGGAGATTCTCAGTCATCCAGGTCATGGTTGTCCCAAAGGTGCTTTTCCAAAAGGCAACTGAACTTTGTTTTTTCTTGAAGATGTTTCGCTTCTCATCCAAGAAGCTTCTTCAGTTTCAGGACAGTGCGTTTCACTTCTTGGATGAGAAGCGAAACATCTTCAAGGAAAAACAACAAAAAAAAGTCCAGTTGCCTTTTGGAAAAGCACTTTTGGGACACCAACATATGTGTGAACACCTGCTTCTGGCTGATATGGCAAAGGATTCAACTTCTGAACATCAATCACAAGTTACCTGATAAACTGCGGCATCCAAATTGCTGAGAGCCAGGAAGGCCATATTATTCTGAACAGCATACACAACCGAAGGAACACTTAATTTCAATAATTCTTTAGGACTGCCTAAAACATTTTCTTTCAAAGACATTGACAATTTACCAAGGCTTCCAGTCTCCCTGAGGAAAATAAAAAAAGGAAAATATTTTAGGAGAAATAGGACTATTACTATTTTTTTCCAAATAATTTTATTAAGAATTATTGAAATTAACAGAATAGAAGTGAATACAAACTACAAAAAATACAAAAAACAGGGGGAAAAACTGCCCTCATAAGCCAGCTCTAAAACCAGCTGTTGGTCTATTCATGAAGA